TCCCTTATGGTGAGATAAAGGTAGTAATACCCTCCAGAGGCTTGTTGTGGGGATTATCCAGTTAATGCATAGACAGTGTTTAGAAAAATGCCATTTAGTAAGTGCCCTGTAATATTAGCTACTCTTGGTAATGTGCAGTCTCGCTCATAAATCAGGAATAGTAATGGCCCTTGAATATGTCTCACACGTTACTTATGATAAAGTTTAGGACTAGAAAAATGTTACAAAAATGCTGTCGTAATAACAGGGAACCTCAAAAACTGTTAGCATCATTCTCTGCCAACCAAGCTGGCTTGATTATTTCAACCAAGCAGCTTTTGATTAAAGTCAGACACTGAAACTGCTGGCAGCTAAAAATAAAACGGTCAAAGTCACATCAGCATACAGGCACTGGGAGGAGAGATGGAAAGGAAAGAATATGGCTGGTCATGCCTCTTATCTACAGGAGCTTGACGGTCAAATTCATTTCATTGTCACCAGCATTTGCAAAGTCGATGCTTTGTGGAATTACATCCCAGACTAATTAAGGAATTTTAAAATTAAATAAATTGCTCCAGGTCACAAAGTTATCAATAGCAGAACCAAATCTAGACCCAGACCCAGACAAAGTCAAAGCCCATCACACATTTTCTCACCCAAGGATAATTTAAGGTTTTATAGTTTCCAGAAATTGACCAGGGGAGAGGAATGAATGAATTTGGGATTCCCAAGGGGGTATACAGCCAGGTAGCAAAAGGGCTATCTTGAAGTTGAAGTTCATGGGTTTTTAAAAAAACTAGTCATTGTGGATAATAAAGTTATTCGTGCCTGGGTTTCAGGTATACATCTTTTAACAACCCCTTCACCAGTACCCATGTCTCTCCACTAATGCCCCGCTTCCTGTTTCTCTGACAGGCACTGTGGCTTACAGTATGGTTACTGATAGGGTTTCATGCCTAACACTTTACCACCTCTCAGCACTCCTTCATCCTTCCAATTGAACACTTCTCTCCACCGTTTTTGTTGTGTTATTTTCCCTGTCTTATTCTCCTATCTTCTCTCCTCCACACAAACTCAGTAAGGAAACACTGAAAGGCAACTGGTGCCCCGCAGCCCAATGGCAGAGATGGCCAGGTGAGCAGATATGATGGAGAAAATAATTATTTTTTGCATATCAATGTTGTAATAAATGTGCACTGAATATAGAAAAAGAAAACCCTTAATATCCAAGCGCATTTTAAGTCCTTCACTAATACCCAGATTCCAGAAGCAATTAATGCAAGTCATAACCTCTAGTAAGTGAGCAAATCAGATGTTCAATAAAAAAAATGTAACCTCAAAATTTATCCTTAGCTGTAAATCTTATCAAGACCTAGCCACGTAGCTAGTACTCAAGTGATGGAACACATGTGGGGGTTTTTTTGCTATTTTTTTAATGGTAGTTTTGTGTGTGTGCATTTGTTTTTGGGCCACCTCCAGTGATGCTTAGGGATTACTCCTGACTCTGCACTCAGGGATCACTCCTGATCGGCCTTGGGGACCATATGGGGTCCTGGGGATCAAACCCAGGTTGGCCAATGCAAGGCAAGTGCCCTGCCCACTATACTGATTTTCCAGCCCCCAGAGTACATGGTTCAAATGTGTGAGGTTCTGGGTTCAATCTCTGACACCACACACACACACACACACACACACACACACACACACAATTTAGCCCCTAAATCAATCATTGATCTAGTACAGCGGAGAGTTCCAGCTCCCTCATTAGTTAAGAGCAAGTAGAAAGGAATGCCTATTACAAAATTCAAATATTTGCAAAAGTGAAGTTATCCATAGTGGGACATAACTTTTATGTTGCTCCCCTTGACTCTACCTAAAATGGAACTCTTGTGTGTTCATCAGAGAGTTAGATTCCAGAGATTCTTGGCACTCTTCCAGTCAATTGACTGGAATCATTTTTGCACGATAAAATTTTCATCAAATGGCCAACTGCATACAGATACCTGTCAGCAAGTTTACTTCTAGTAGTTGCATAAACAGAAGGTACTGGCAGTGATGAAAATGGAAAAAAAAAAGTTAACATGGTAATGGCTTTACTCAACAGTGTCATTTCCCAAAATTCCAAGCTAGATGGCCCAAATATTTAGAAATCTCCATAGACTAGCGAAGATGAGTTTAACCTCGGGCCTTGCTCAGGCCGGAGAAAGCTTAGGGTGTCTGGCTCTCCTCGACCCCTTATTATGTGACTGTAACCCACCCTCACATTCATTATCTTTCAACTATCAGCTCGGTATTTCTTCCTCCCCCCCCCCCCCCCCCCCCGCTGGTCTATTCTCCCCTGACCTCTGACTTCAATATTTGCTTTTCGCTGTCTGGAATCCTTATCCAAACTAACTTCAATCACTCAAAACTGTGTGGTAAGAGGGGAGATGAAGATGGAGGTGCAGTGAAGACCCAGTGGTTCAGATGGAGCTGCCTGAGGCAGGCCTCCCGTTCAACCTTCTCCCTTACTTTGTGGTGATGGGTTATTCATTAAATGACCATGAACCCGCTGTTTCTATTGTAGGCCAGTTTTCCACAAACTTTCTGTCAGCTTAACAAAACAGTGAAGTTGAAAGGTCATACCAAATCTGGTTTCTACATCTCACAGTTGACGTTTGGGGCATGCAATGGTGGTCAAAAGAGTATGGACCAGTCCCCTCAGTTTCATTTATTGCCATCAATAACACTAAAATTTTCTGTTAGAAATGTTTTTCCTGGGAGCTGGAGCGATAGCACAGTGGGTAGGGTGTTTTCCTTGCATGCGGCTGACCCGGGTTCGATTCCCAGCATCCCATATGGTCCCCCAAGCACTACCAGAAGTAATTCCTGAGTGCATGAGCCAGGAGTAACCTCTGTGCATCGCCGAGTATAACCCAAAAAAGCAAAGAAAGAAAAAAAAGAAATGTTTACCCTGGTGCTAAAGTTAGTCAGTTCAATCAAATATCAATCCTGACAGGTAAGTTAGTATTGTAGTCATTTTACAAAGAACAATGTGAAGGGATTTCTCCATTGTTCAGTTTTAAACGTGCGTGGCCAAAGGGGTAGCATAATGGATAGGGCATTTGTCTTGCATGCGGCTGACCTGGGTTAGATACCCGACATCCCATATGGTCCCCTGAGCACCATAGAAGTAATTTCTGAGTGCAGAGCCTGGAGTAACCTTTGAGCATTGCTAGCTAGGTGTAACCCAAAAAGCTAAAAAAAAATTTTTTTAACATGAGAGGAAAGAATACATCAGACTTAATTTTTTTTTCGTGTAATTGAAATTTATCTGTAGACTTAAAACCATTTTCAGTTCTCAATTATAATGAGAATAGTGAAAGAAAAGTGGACCAAATAGCTGACAGACTGGGATTTAACCTTGACCAAATACCTGACATATGAGCATTTTGCTAGACATTTTCCAGCTAGAAACAATTTTCTAGACAGGAAAGCTCCTATTAGTGTCATCTCTATTTCTATAGGTACACAGGAGAGGATTCCAGCACATCTGCTACATGTAACAATAAACTATAGATTAATAACACTTTTAAAGATAGAAAAATTGAGTCCAAACAGAAAAGAATGAACACAATTAGACTTTTTCTTGTATTTTCTTTGATTTCTTCCCTCTCTTTCTCCCTCTGTTTCCATCTGAATCAGCTGCAATCTTAGCTTTCTTGGAACAATTATCCCAATATATACTATGCTTAGTTCTAAAATATTTTTTCCCATAATTTTAGTAAAAATAGACATTCAACATTTTTGGAAGTAAAAACTAGTTTTATTTAGAAATTTTGAGGAGAGGAGGAAGGAAGAGAAAAAGGGAGAGTAGTGTGCTCAAGAAAGAAGGGGTGGGGGCTGTAGCAATAGCACAGCGGGTAGGGTGTTTGCCTTGCACGCAGCCGACCTAGGTTCGATTCCCAGCATCCCACATGGTCCCCCAAGCACTGCCAGAAGTAATTCCTGAGTGCATGAACCAGGAGTAACTCCTGTGCATCGCTGGGTGTGACCCAAAAAGCAAAAAAAAAAAAAAGAAAGAAAAGAAAAAAAAGAGGTGGGGTTTCTCAAAGGCAAAGAGAGTCCCAGGGCACATACCAGCATTAGAGTGTGAAGCTACACACCTCAAGAGAGGCGATGCAGGTGACACATGTATTCTGGTACCATGTACCCAGGCAACACATGCGCTGACATTTAACTTGTAAAAAAAACCTTGGAAGTAAAAGGGAAACAACTGCACACCTATATAGAATTAAACAAGCATAACCTTCTGAAATCCTTGCTGAAAACTAGCAAGCCAATGCAAAACAAAACAAAACAGAAAACAAAAACCCTACTAAAATCAAGTCAATGTAAGAGGTACATCGTATTTTATGTCATGGAGACTGTTTCTTTCATTAATTTGTTTTTGGGCCATACTCTGGTTTTCAGGCTCCTCCGCCTTCCTCCTGGAACTGCCAGCCCACATCTGACTTTAAGCAAGCCTGCAATCCCACAGAATAGCCCTTTAGCCATGGCCAGTTGTGCTCCCCTGCTGGGATGACCCTGCTCCATACTTGTTCTGTCACCAGTTAGGATCGAGGCCCCAGCATCCTTATGGACTCACCTCAGAGGAAGTTCTCCAGTCATTGCCCACATCTGCATAACCAAAGCCAAGGACACCAGGCACTGGCAATCACGAACCCCTTTTCACTACCTAGATCTATTCCATTTGGCACACAGTGCCTCACTATCCTAGTGGCCACCCAAGTATACTTGAAAATAGGCCGCTGGTCATTGCTTAAGCCCCTGTAGAGGCACCAGACATGCCAGAGAGACAGAGATAACAGCCTGGAGAAACTCCCAATACAACAGAGCTATGCAAAGGAACTGAAGATGACTTCAAAGCAACAATCCTAAGGATACCTATTTAACTGAGATCTACAGAAGAAAACACCTGAGAAAGTCTAAGAAAAAGTCAAGGAGAAATCACAGTGCTAAAAGAATATAGGAGGTCTTGCTTGCTTCAGCAGCACATATACTAAAATTAGAACGACAAAAGAAGATTAACATGTCCCCAGTGCATGTATGACATAGACATTAGTGAAGCGTTTCATAAATTTTTAAAAAGAATATATGGGGCTAACTGGAAACAGAGGAAGAAACCAAATGTTGTGAATGAACAACCAAAGCCGCTGTGGACCCCTGCTCTAGGAGGCTGGGCGGGGGTCGGGGGGGGGTAGCTGAGGTAGGGTCAGCAGGAGCTAGTGTTGTGGAAGAGACAAGGCAGTTGCGATGTCTTCGAGACCAAGAGACAGGAAGAACCCCAGCTCTGTCTTCCTTCCAGCCTCTAATCATCCATCTCCTTGTTGGACGATGCACCAGAAACCAGATGACTGAGGAGACTGGGAAAGGCAGCCTGCAAGGAATTAGCCTCCTTGGGTGGGTTCAGGATACAAAGACCCAGGATGAGAACCAGGACTCCTATCGGAGATTTTGCTTCTTTTGTAACTATCATAAAAAATGTTGGGCTAATGAAGCTGACCTCCTCCAGGGGGCTGGGCAATGGTGACAGTGCTGGCCCACTAGCCTGGGCTCCAGAAGGATACCATTCTGCTCTTGATTGTAGCTTCAGATAATTCGATTGGATGAAGCTACATCTTTAGCTATGTCTAACTGTGGCAGTGCAACAATGAACACTTTCGTGTGACTATGATGGCCGTGACCTTGGTTCAAATCCCTGACACTACATGTGGTTCCCCGAGCACCTCCAGGGATCACTCCTGTTCACAGAGCCAGGAATAGTCCCTAAACACCACCAAGTCCAAATCCAATAATAAGGACAATTAAAAAAAAACGAATTAAAAGCAAAAATCTGTATGCCAGAAAGTTCAGTCAAGGAAAGAAGATAACTAGACAGAGAAGCTATCTGGCATGTGACCTTGATAAGAACATATGTTTGAACTTGGGAGTTCCAGCAAGGAACTCCCTAAGAGCTTGGAAATGCAGGAAATAAGATTGTTTTGTGGGCAAATAATCTGCAAAGTCAATGCACAATGAGTCAGAGTGGGGGTAAGGAAAAGGCAAATGAAAGAACTGAAATAACCCCTCAGGCTCCACCCAGCTCTGAAGCGTGGGACTCTGCTCTCTCCACCTTCCAGGACGTCACCTTAGGGTGCACCTACAGAACCCAAGCACTGGACCAGATCCACCCTTGCAACAATCTCCTTTCTTGGACCCTGGGTCTCTACATTGCATTCCACGGAAGCTTGAAACTTAAAAACAATTCTATAGGTGAAAAATAACACAAGATTTTATTTATTTATTTATTATTATTATTATTATTATTATTATTTTGCCCTACCTGATTATTTGGAGAACAAGCACTGGAAACCGAGTCTTAATATTCCCTCATCTCGAAGACACCAGATACTACCTCAGGCACAGAAGGAAGTTCTGTAGTTGCAAAAAGAAAACTGGTTTCAAGTTTGGTTGCCTTATTTTTCACTAAATTGACAGTCCATAGATTTTGTCTGACTAGCTTAAAAATATTTGGTTATTATTTTTCACACTTAAACAGCTGCCTTGATTAAGGAGAAAGGGTATTGAATAAGCTTACAACGGTTTTGCTTCATTCTGTGGTGCTGGCATAAACAAATCCAGTGTCTCCCATATGTGAGGCAGGCGCTGTACTGAACCACATCTCTTGCTCCTCATCACTTTGATTTTTATTTTATTTGTTGGGGGGGCACACCTGGTAGTGTTCAGGCCTTCCTCCTGGCTCTGTATTCAGGGATCATTCATGGACCCAAGGGTGCTGAGGATCAAAACAGTCAACTGTATTGGTAGGTAAGCAAGCACCTTCACTCTTGTACTCCCTCTTTAATCCATCACTTTGATTCTTACATTCAGAACAACATAATGACTGGGTGTTGCTTTGAGACTGAATGGGATTACCCTCTGCTTTAGCATTATCATATTCTTGAAGATGGTGTCCAAAGACTCTTCCCCTTTTCTACCACTGATCTGCTGAATCTGCTGGAACAGCCAGCCTCTTGGAGACATATAGGAATGGGCTGGAAATAGGCATATAATGATGAGAGCAAGTGTTTCCTGCTCAGTGAGAATAGAGACAAATGGAAATAGGAAATCCCCCATACGTGCACTTTCCCTGAACTGTGTTTCTACCTTTTCCAGTCTTGTCATCTCTCCAACCTCATTCCAACAGATTAATGAAGTAAACTTAAACTATTAATAGGACATATCTGTGAGTAAAACAGAACAAAATAATGCCTTGTCAAGACTTGCTGAGCTGGTTCTTGAGCTTCCTGAGTGTTGGAAATGAATTCCTGCACTTTCTCAATGCTGAGGACAGTATTTTATTCCAAGTGGAATAGGAAACCAAAAAGTTTATACTATGCTGCTACTAATTGCAGAAGAAGGAAGCCTTCAAGAGCAAGTTGGCAGAGAAAGCCAGGGTAGGTTCCAATGGGCTTTGTCACTGACATTCCCAGGGAGGAATTAGTTGTTTGATGCCCTTGTTCATGACTTTCCAGATTCTCTCTGTGCAATAGAGTAAGAGGAAATTATCCTTTACATGTTTCCTGACTTCTGGCTAAATTGGTTGGCTGGCCCAGGACTGTAAGAATGGGCATTGTAATTTGGTATTTGGTTATTAAGTGTTATACTGAATACTTTGTGGATATCTATACTTAATCCTTAAGCCAACCCCATGAACAAATTGTCATGAATATGGATATATATGGTAGCAAATTCATGGCAATATTTCCATTTTTGTTCCTATGTCAGCACCTCCTTGAGAACTGAGAGAGCAATCTCTGGCCAACAGCTCTTTACCATTCACAGAGCACTGGGGAGGGAGATCTCAGGTTTGGACAGAGTTAAGTATCTTGTCGGGGCTAAGAAAATTGTCAAACTGAAACTTACACACAAGGCTAGGACTACAAAGTGTGTATTCTTAACTGCCTCACTCTGCACCCTCCCATTATTTGTGTGATGTGAAATTCTCATAAACATCTCTCCAAAGGATTGATTGTATTTTCTTTTATGTGACTAATGATTATAACCGAGTCCTGTAATGCTGCTAGGGCATTGGGATACAGGCATCATCCTGTGCTGTAAGGTCAGGACTTAACAAGTGTCGCTAGGGAAATGCCATCATTTCATTGGCTACACTGTGAAAGTATTTTACTATCAGGACACTGTGAGAGAGGGTGGTAGAGATAAAAATTGAAATCCAGGCAAAGTGCAGCTCATACTAGGCTGCAAAGATCGGTTGCTAATGTTTTTCGGCTAATTTAATGCACTCCAGGACAACCTGGAAAGGGAATTTGCTTTCCTTGGCAATTTTTCTTCTCTGAGGCTTTCAAAAAGAAGTTCCTCAGAACTAGCTTCTCCAAAGACCAACTCCGACATGTGACTCAGTGTCCTCCGACATGTGACTGTTCCGTCCGAAGGATAAAAAGATGAGCTAGGATTCTTCTTCAAGCAAAGCTGTTCTGGCCTTGTCGGCAGCATGCCCAGTTATTAGAAGTTTGTGTGAGAGTAAGAGCTAAAGGGCTTATGACCTTGCCCCTCTACCCAGAAACCGAATCTTACCTTGGCTTCCTTTCCTCCACGTTATCTTCTTTCTTTTGAGAATTCTTATTGCTTACTCATCTAGAATGTTCAATTCCATGCCAGAACGACAGACACATTTTCTTTCTTTTTTTAATTTTTTTTGCTTTGGTTTTTGGGTTACACCTGGCAATGCACAGGGGTTACTCCTGGCTCTGCACTAAGGAGTTCCTCCTGGCGGTGCTCAGGGGACCATATGGGATGCTGGGAATCCAACCCAGGTCGGCCACGTGCAAGGCAAATGCCTTCCCCGCTGTGCTATCTCTCCAGTCCCCTACAGACACATTTTAATCCTAAGGAAACACCCACCCATCCCAGCCGAGTCTATTCTCAGATAAGCCTGACAGGAAGCCAGAGGTGAGTATCTCCTCACAAGGTTCACAGCGCCATGGAGACTGAGAAGTCAAGCTGTGGCAGTGAGCAGCCATCACAGTTACGGGTTCGAGTCTTCTGGGGTCGGACCTTCCAGCTGCCTCTTCTTGAAGCAGATTCTCCACATAGGAGGGAAATATGAAGTTCATGCCTGCCGGTCAACTCAAAAAGTCTTCAGCCAGGTTTCACTGATGGTTGTCCAGCCCCTTGGAATCTGGACCCTCCAAAACTAGCTCATGGCAGAAACAGCAAAAACTTTCATTTGCCCCTAAAGCCTTTCCCATCTTCCTGGCAAGCAACAGCTTTTTCAGATAAAATCAGCAGTTTTGATATTAAGAATGAGAATCTCTGAAGGAGAAAGTGATTGTCAGCTCTTCTTACCTCAAGAGAATTGAAGTAGGAGCCCCAGCACGGAGGAAATGCTGCCTAAGGGGTTTTCAGGAGCAAAATTGGTAAGACATGAAGTTTGACGAACTCCACTATTCCACGTGTAGGAAAGTTCTGCTGTTTGCCTGGTCACTTGACTGCGATCCCTATCCAAACATGCCATGAAACGACTAGGGAGTAGGTTTGAAGCTACCACTCAGACAATCAAAAGAATAAAATTCTGTAAATTTTTTTTCACCCCCTTCTAAATAAATATAGAGGTTATTATTATTTTTTCAGAATCTTTGCTGCGGGGCTGGAGTGATCGCATAGTGGCTAGGGCATTTGCCTTGCACATGGCCGACCCGGGTTCGATTCCGAGCATCCCATATGGTTCCCCGAGAACTGCCAGGAGTAATTCCTGAGTGCATGGACCAGGAGTAACCTCTGTGCATTGTTGAGTCACTGTCACTGTCATAGTCCTCCCGTTGTTCATTGATTTGCTTGAGCAGACCCAGTAACATCTCCATTGTGACACTTGTTAACTGTGTTTGGCATATCGAATATGTCACAGGGAGCTTGCCAGGCTTTGCCATGCAGGCGAGATACTCTCGGTAGCTTGCTGGGCTCTCCGAGAGGGGTGGAGGAATCAAACCTGGGTCGGCCATTTTGGCCGTGTGCAAGGCAAATGCCCTACCCTCTGTGCTATAGCTCCAGCATTGTTGGGTATGATCCAAAAAAGAAAAAT